CATTTCTCGCGGTCATTCCTCAGACTCTTGATGAGCTGGCGTTCAAGGGATTTGCGTGCTGTGTCATATGCTGTATCCGGAGGTAGGATTCTGCGGGCGTCCATCAGAGCAGTCGAGGTCGACGAAATCCATCGTTTGTATTTTGAACCAACGCCAGGGTCCGACATTGTTTTTAATGATATTTGCATCGCTTTTAGTTTTCATTGAGTCCTTCGACTGGTGGCTGAACTGACATGCGATTGGAGAGCTCCGGTTCGAAGGCCGATTTGCAGTCATCGCGGACGCTGTATTGTGGGTATCCCTTGTCGGTGGCTTTTCTGCTGTTGTTTGCCAGGCGTAGGGAGAATTTGGCTCGTAAAAAAGCGTGGTCTGTATCCACAGCTGTTGAGCAGTAAGAGCGGCAGTCTTCAATTGATTCCCTGATGGCGATGTGGTCGATCTGGGTCCAGCGTTGTGAAGAGGTTGGNGACTTTTCTTGTGTGAGAAGTTCGTGTTTGACAAGAACAATCCGTGGTCCGCGCAGAGTTCAAGTAGGCGATCACCGTTGTCCGTCCGGTTGGCTGGGAGTGCACGCCAAGAAGCCTTTCTGATTCGTCCAGAGATCCCACTTGAGCAGTGAAGTCACCGGCAACTACTATGACGTCCGTTGATTGAACACTTTGGAGTGATTGAGAAAGATGCTTGTAGAATTCATCCTTGATTTCAGGTGTACTACAATCGGTCGATGTATACACCGATACGAAGACGTAACGCTCAACACAAGCCTACGCAGTGATCGCGAAATCTGGACTCAACGCGCATCAGAGACGGAACGTGCTGCCACCATGGGACATGTCTGAGTTCAGACTGTGCCAAATAAATCTCGGAACAATATTCTTTATAAAATGAAGAACGTTCCACGAGTTGCATGTGGGCCGAATGCTGCCAGGTTGCGCAGGGCAAGGCAGGTGAATTTTCTTGAAGAATCCACAACCGGAGCCTTCGGTTAACCAAAGCCTGACCCACAAGGCAGCGGGGAGGTGCGAAAACCGCAATCCATTGGGGGCCGGTGTTCAATTCATAGGATCATACGCCCTTTGGACGAGTTTAAACGTCCAAGGTGCCCAAATCACATCGATGCCCAATCGAGCCGGCGACCACTACCGCAACCGGGGAGTGTGCATGTGATTCGTACGCCTCTTGGTTTGTTTAGAATCAGCGTTTTTAGCCAACTCCCTTAGGTAAACTGCCCCGGATGTTGGCTTTTCGTCCCCTCACTTTGGTGGGAAAACACCTCCGCCACGAGAAGGCAGTGAATAGAGTTTCATCAGCAGAGGCTATTTGAGACGTTTGGTCGTATGGGAGCATTTCGCGAGGTGCAAGGAAAGGGTGGCCAGTCGCAATCCCAGACACCCACCCCGACCATACTGAGGCCTTCGGAGCGAAGCTGACGATTCGCCCATTCATAATCAAAAGCGACGCCTTGCATGCTGGGCGGAGCACTTCGAGGCACATGGGCTTCCCCTGCTCCATGTAAAGATGGTAGAATAATACTTGTTAGAGAATTGGTAACTCTGTTATCTAAAGTTTAGCCCAATGAGCAGGTCCCTTCCTCGTGCGGGGAGTCGATTGTTGTCCCCATCTTAGAAAAGAGCTCGTGCAATTGTGATGGAAGGCGGTACAAAGAGTCCTGGCGAGCGACCGAATCAAGAACGGGGATTTCCGACCAGACGTGTAGACGCAGCAGCGGGAAGTGCCTAGCGAGACAATGTTGACTGCCACTCGAAACGAGCGAATCAAAATTATAGCCCGACAGACAGTCCGCAGATAACGGGAAAGAGATCCGCCGAACGCCACAACGTCGGAGCTGTCGATCAACGTATCTCGCGCCGCGATCGGGACAAACCAGTCGGAATGACACGCGAAAGAAGAGGCAACGTACGTGCCAAGTGCGGACCAAAACTAACAAGGAATGACCCACAGAAAGAGGCATGAGCCATCCCGCCACGCGATTGAGAATTGATTGTATATGATCGAACGCATACACCGTTTGCTTTTGAATTGGATCAATAGACGTTGTTCCCAGCCAGCTCGCCTTCTCGCTACACAATGACTGCGCCAATCACAGAAGTATAAGCCTGATCCCGACAGCGTCAAAGCTGTTGGCGTCCATCATTCTCGGTCGGTTGCACAAGAAACGAAGAGTAGACCCGCGAGAAGCAGGCTGAATTGTGCGCCGGTAGCGAATGCATCAATGAAATCTTTACCCTCCGACAGTCCAACACGCTTTGAACCGCTTAGTGATAGAGGTATCTAAATATGGTATACACTTTGCAAAGTGCTCGTACAAGACTGGCGGGAGCCTGTGCCTGAACTTATCCTTTCCGGTGGTCAGCTGGAAATGGTTGAGAACTTTAAGTACCTCGGGAGTCTAATCACAGCTGGAGGTAGTGTTGGAGGAAGAGATCACATCACAAATAGCGAAAGCTAGAGCATTTTTTGCCAAACTGCGACGCCTGTGGGGCCGCTATGACATCCATTCGTCCCTTAAGGGAAGGCTATACAATGCCATGGTTCATGTTTTGCCTTACAGTCGCGAGACACTGTCCCTCGGTGTTGAGGATGATAATCGGCCTTCGGCCGCCGATGTGTTCGAAGTATTGCTAGTGTCTGATAGTAAAATCGGGTAAGCAATGAAGAAATTCATCGTTGTGTTCTGGGTCGTTCTCTAACAGAAGTAATCGCTCTACACCGCCTCCGATAGCTTGGCCACGTTTTGTGTAGGCCTGTCCATCGCCTACCTTTCTGTGCGCTCTTTGCACGTACTAGAAGAGGCTGAAAGATACGTTGTAGCGGTCAAACTATGACCTGGCGTAGAGCATGAAGAAGTTAGTTTCAGCATTGGCCGTGATTGACGCTACGCGCCTTTCAGGTTAGGGCCCAAGGAAAGAGGAGTGTTGTTAATTAAAATAGAAGGCAGTGGCGCTAACAGTGAAAGACCTGAGGGTTGCAATCCAGTGCCCAAACAACACAAGCAAATAGCAAAAACTTAGAGTGGAAGAAACTTCAAAGAACATTGCTACTAAAGTTCTCTTTATTCACCGTAATTTTTGCTTTCCATGTAGATCTGTTTTGTACCCCAATTCTCCATTTTCTATTCTTATTGTTGTTGCTCTGGCAAAATGCTGATTTTCAAGCTTGTGATGTATATGAGAAGGTTAATGAGATAAATAACTTAGCGACGGCAAGTGGTATTTAACTTATACTAAGGAAGATCGAAATGACAATGAAATGAGTCTAAGGAGTGATTAAATAAAGAGAAAAAAACGAGGTTTAGTAATGCACTTACCTGTTCCATCATAGGTATCCACAGAGTTTGATTCGGTAAGCTAAGATTGGACACTAGGATCGAGCGCAAGCGGGTGAACAGAGGATGATTCACAGGAAATCGGAAAGGTTCCGTGGGTCCTTTGGGGCGGCCAGATGCTTTGTCAGCCTGAAAAACAAGATAATTTACTTGGATACATCATGCTTTTATTATTCACAATTGTGTGATGAACTGCAGACGGGGTGGACCCCATAGCCGCAAAGATCTGCTGTTCAGTGACAGGACTTGATTTGACTAACCCAATAAGGCCAATAAGTGCATCCAGTGAAAACACCACTCAAATGGTTTATTGCTCTGGACAAAAAGGAGAGCTATTTCCACCGTTCTTTTTAAATACGGCATAAACCACTAAGAAGACATCGTACCCTGCCGTGGAGCCATGGTATGTGCACTTTTTTAAAGGTAAACATTTGGTAAATTTCGGGTTTCTGGCCCTCCACGAAAAGGGTTCAACTTGGGATAGCTTCTTATGACGTTGAACCCATGCCAGGTGGTACTCGCTGGTACTGGNGTAAAATTGACGCAGTAGAAATTCATCTAAGTCAAAGAGTCTCCAATTGACCTGAACCACTGTTCTGCGATTCCCTTTTCGCAAGAACTAAAAGCTTTGGTCGAGGACCCTGATAGATCTCTTGTTGAGTGGTTAGACCATATCCATTAGGCTATAAGAAATATTTGTCAGAACAGACAAGAGAAATACTGCGAGATGTTANCATCACTTTTAATCGGTTCGGTCGCTACAAAGTAAAACAATCTGTCACACATACAACAAAGTTTTTATAACTACGATGATTCAACAGACAGTAGTCAATTATAAAATCCGTCCCGTGGTAATTTGACTGATTGCATCAGAAACTAACGTAAAGAATTGGATTCCGTGACTCGATCAACATCGTTTCCACGAAAGCCGAGTTTGGGAGTCATGCTAGGTAAAAACGGAATGACAAACAAAAGTAGGTCAACGACATGTCCAGTTATCACGAGATGTTCTGCGACTGAAGCCCCTTTATTTCTATTGAGACTATGCTGCGCTCGTAGTCATCATCATCAATATCGTACTGCGAAATACAGTGAAGCGAACTTCGCTGATCGCTGCCAAACTCGCAATGAATACAAGGTTAGTGGTAAAATTTAAGGTGGACAGGGATTGGACCGATTTTGAGGGAGGGAGAAGAAGGTGAATCACTATGGTCAACGCAGATTA